GGAAATAGTGGAGGTTTATGACAGCCAGCGAGGAAAATAATCCACCTTCAAAATGGTATTAAACCAAAGTTTCAAATGATGATTGATGAAAATATGATGCGTCTTTAATTAAAAGAAAATGAAGCAGAAAATGAAGATAAAAGTACTTTCCCTACCAATAACATGAGACGAGAAATTGAAAAGAAAATAAATGAATTGTGATGATTTCTTTTCCTATAAGAAATATGAGAAAAGACATTGATAAGAAATTTAGCATACTCAAATAAGATGGTTGGAAGTGACTATTTCAATAAACCCATAATCATATACTAGTAGCAAAGCAACAAAATTCTCAGAAAGATTCTCTAATTAAGAAATCATAATTAAAGTCAAGATAAAAATCTAATCATGAGCAGATGGCGCCCTGGTAGGGGTCAGGTCAATAGGTCAACTCTGACTGACCTGTCACCCAACTTATTTGTTATTCTGCAGATAAAAAAGGCAAGTTAACTGACTGTGTCACACTGTCTGATAGGAAAATTTTGTCATTTTTATTCCAGCCATGCTGGTACCTTTATCCATACAGGTGGATGAAAATGGAGCAGCCATTTGGCATGTGATAATTATAGTTGTCATTTCTACAGATGAGTTATTTTTCTCTTGTAGATATTTTGTGTGCACCATTTTAATCCAAATAAACATGCTGCTTTCATATATTTTGAAGTGAGAGATCAATACAAAGAATGTGCCATTGATTGACTGAAATGATGGTGAATCTTGAATCAAAATATTTGTGCATGCAGCATGTTGTGGTATGTAAGGCCAATATAATGTAAATTGATAAGTGGTGTAAAATGGAGCAAGACATCAAGAAAAAATCTGGAACTTTCATTTTTCTGTTACATTAACATGCAACATGACTTGCCCAGCATTCACTGCATTCAGTCCCTCCTCCCACATGCCAACTTTTAAAGGTAAATCAGTAATAATCCATTTAAATTAGAATACTGATTTGGCCTATTTTATAAAAAAAAATGACAAAATGACTTAAGTTTCAAAAAATTCAATAATTCAGATTATAATCAGTATGCTAATTTAAGTGGATTATTACCGATTTACCTTGAGTAAGTTGGCATGTTTTATATATATATATATATATATATATATATATATATATATATATATATATATATATATATATATATATATATATATATATCTTAAGCTTTCAACAAACAGTTACTTTAATAATTTAGATAGCAACTAGTCTAATACTTAATGGCAGTCAACCATTTTAGGTATTAAAGTGAAGACTAACCAGACCTCAGTTCTTTCTGTAGGGAAGGTTCCTGCTGAGAGGCAGGTGGCTTTACCTTGTGCCTTTCATTCCTATTTCATGACTCAATGGTCACTCAATGGAGTGGACAGTAATTCAAGTTGACCAGGGGTTATAGGGAAACAGATGGGATTATGCCTATGACGTCTTGACTTCTTGGATATTGAATTATTAGCTTTGTGCAGAGCAGTCGACCACGAGATTTGTAGCCTATGATTTTTCATGAAATAATTATTATATCAATATTAGATTGTCTTAAGACACTGAGATATTCATCATCATCTTTTTATTTATTTAATAGTATTCATTCGTATCAAGGAAGTGTGCTTGTGTATCTGCAGAATAATACTTCTAAAGTATTATATATCAGTATTTCAAAAAAATACAGATATTAGTGCATTATTTCATGTTTGTGGGTCAAAAAATACAATTGCATGAAAGGACCAAGAAAACATTTCTCATTTGAGCTTTTTAATATTTGTCATTTAAACACTCAGTGACATATTTAATCTATTATTAACTACTGTTAACTTATTACTATCTACACAGTCTGAACATAAACATTTCACTAAACTGATCATTTGCTGGCAAAGAATAAAATAATATTTTTTTTATTATTATTTTTGACATAACACTTAATCATACTTAACCCAGGGGTAATGTTTCCTTCTATATGTAACTATACAGTTATAATCTATTAATATGGAAAATGATACAGTTTGTGTTCTGTCCATTGTCAGAATCACATTACAACTGTTACAATAAATATTTGACAGAAATGTCTGCAGTATGGGCCCACCTTACACAGAATGATTTGATGAAATTAACAAGTGCATATATTTTACATATAATTTATATGCCAAACATCTTGATAGGAACATCTGAATCAGAATCACTTAACAGCAGATATAAGTGTACAGAAACCAAACCTTGTAGTTAAATTCCTAGAAAAATGTATCCATATACTAGCATATATGTATTAATTTTATTCCTTTTACTACAAGTTGTAAAGAAACAGACCAAGACCATGCAATGCAGTCAAACCTCCAGAAACTTCTTCATTCTTGTCAGAGTTCTACTACATAATGCACAAGGACAAGTGCAGATGTCAGATAGCACTCAAAGACCATGCAAACCCAGAATCACATTACCACAATCACTGATGTACAGACAAGTACACCGACCCTAGCTGGAAGTTTACATAATACCAACACAATATTCTGTGTAGCAGCTATGTAACAGGACAAGTGTAGGTGTCAGGTAACAAATGGACGTCAGGTAATCCTGATCAGGTTTAGCGTCCACCCTTTCTATCTCGGATGCTTTAACTGTCCCAGTCTTTTGTAAGTCTACCTGCCTCGATCCAGGGGGCCAACACATCGTTAACAGAAAGTTATTATCTTGTCTCTATTATGAGGAGTGCTGTGAGGGGGTGTTGGTAGGTATCCCTGAAACTGGTCAGATTTTAAAGTACTTCTGATTCAAGATTCAGTGTTGCTTCAAAGTGCAGAAGTCCAACAAGTTCACTGGTGACTACTGATTCACTGAAAAGGGGGTGCAGCATTTCAATCTGGAGCAACTTCTAAAAACATTGCCATCTTAATGAAATCTAAACAAAATAGTTATCTTCTTTTCCTATGTAGAGGGGGAGGGGTGATTGATAAAAAAATAATAATAATAAGCTATCTGCCAATCTAGGACTGATCCATACAGAACTGAGTCCAAGTTAAGATAACTCCAGTAGTAAACTAAGTAGTAATTTATCCCGTCCAGTCCATGATTGCCCCCTAAGTGTGCCCCTTAACCTGCACACCTGCCCCTCCATTAAGTGGATAAATGGATCACAGGTAATTTAAAGGTGTATTAGTCCCCAGGGACTTTAGGGCACTGTGTCCAGTCTGTGCAGGGCAGAGAGAAAGTTCCCCTTCCTACCAGCTCTCAGCTTTTTGAAGTGTTTGTGCAAGTAGAATGCTAGTACATGTACTTGTTCAACTGGTGCATGTATGTAGAAAGAATACCCACATGTTCCTCTGTAGAAATGAATTGAAATGCTGTAGGCAGCTGTCTGAGATAAGTCAGTTAAATGAGGGTATTTAACAAAATTGAAGAGAAAAGCCAAGCAAAATGAGCCAAATGTAGTGCTCAAGTTCTCAACTGAGCTAGTTACACTGCCATCTTCCAATAACCCCAAACCTTTCCCTTTCCAAGAGTTTCACTGTGAAGATGATCACACCTTGCTGTGGCAAAACTTATCCTGATCTGAACAAAATACAGTGTTATTTCACCTCTCTTTCTCTCTGTCATACACACACACACACACACACTCACACACACACGACCATGAAGCTGATCACACCTTGATGTGACAAAACTAATCCTGATTTGAACAAAAAATATCATTTCGCCCCTCTCTCTCCCCCCCCCCCCCATACACACACACATGACCATGAAGATGATCACACCTAGCCATGGAAACCTAACCTCTCCTGACTTGAGCCAGATTAGGCTCACTTCCACTCCCCATCCATCCTTTGTTCTTCCACAATGCTAGGGCAGGTGACCAGACCCCGCCAACATCAACCCTGTGATCACCCCGAGATTCAGCTGCTAATTTACTCATAATGAGAAGAGGGTAATGAGGAGATGATTACAATGCCCTCGGGGTGGGCAGTTGGGCCTGGGCTGGGGCTGAGTACACTGTTAGTTAACCTGCCTAGGCAGATGTACAGCTCGACACCTTCATTAGCTACCATGGTCCCCAGAATTATTATAATAATTTAATTCTATTATCTGTCAGTGACTTATATACAAATTTATTGTGCAGGGTTTGTGAGGAAGCCACAGTCTTATATTTGATACTATGTACTAGTAATATAGATGATGTAATAAAGTACCGCTGCATAACTTTGAAGTTATGGAATCACAGGCTAAAATGTCAAAACGGAACTTTGGAACATTTTTCCATAAATTTTTTAATACATTAGATTAAGACTTTCTAAAAAGTTTTAATAATTCTCAAAGCAAGGTATAAATATGAGGCAAAACATCTACAGTTTCAATCGGATTTTTAGAATGTGAAATTTAGGCTTACACGCAATACTATAGAAACTTTGGAAAAGAAAAACAAGTCATTATCCACAGAAATAAGAAGTGAAAATATAATACAAAAAAAAATATCAGTAAAAAATCATCAAAAAAATTACTTATTTCCAGCCAAACAGAGCACACCTGCCAGTGAAGTTCAGTGTGTAAAATTGTACAGAAATGCCCATAAAATACCACATAAAATAGATCAAAAGGCACAAAAACATGCAGCACCTGTTCAAACCCCTATGAGACAGTGTTATTCACACCAAAACAGAGATGATAAAGAGCAACATCTTAACTTTGTTTCTTTATGTAATAATTATAATAATAAAAAGGCCATGCATAGCCATAAACTCTCATTCAAATTTAGTTACAGAAAAAAAATTACTAAAGAAAAACCTGCCACAAGAAATGGTTTATCTATGACCAAAATCTCCTCCTATAGTACAAAACATACAGGAAAGCAAATGCATTTTTTATTCCTTTATTCTCAACCGAAGCAAATAAAATCAGACACAGAGGACCCGGCGTAATTCTAGCCTCGGCAACAGGGGGCCACATGTGGGTCCACACACCACACGCACCCACACACGCCAGTCACAAGCTGGTCTCATTCACATGATTTATGCATCGGCGCCTCACGACAAGGGACCCACATCTCAGCTGGGCTAAAGACTCCGGCTTAGTCGCCAGCTAAATAACACAGCAACACACTTCCGCCAGCTCTTGTGTAAGGGATAATGTACCTTAACAAAACTATATATTTTGTAGCTGCTGGTAGTTTACGCTTCTTTGCTTATTAGGCTTGGGAGAGGTGACAACCACCAGTCTGAGAGAAGAAGAGAAAGAGGGAGAGAGAAGTCAGAACTAGTAAGAGGAGAATGACAGCAGCTGTCAGGATCTCTGCAGATAATATCTCTATTCACTTTTAACATTTTTTTTTCTTTTAATAAAACTGGTGTTTATAAGAAGAAAAGCCACTCACTGTAAAGAGAAAGGAACCACTGTGGACGAGTGCAAGAACTTTTTACAGGACATTTCTCTAAGTGCAAAACTTTCAGTTGCAATTCACTTTGAAGAGACTCAAGTTCATACTTGGGTAACTATAAACCACGCAGAGAAGGACAGATTCTGCAGGTAGGGAAAAAAAACTTCCATTCTTTGATTAAAAAAAAATTATCAGCCACACTTTGTTTTATCTTATAGGAAAGCATTCATTCTCCGAGTCAGTTGCGTGCATGTACATTTTTACAGCAGATTTTCTGGGAGGTTAAATCAATAACAGCAGACGTACATCCCATAATACAACAATTCCCTGCATGCAATTTCATTAAGAAAGACATCAAAGTGCATGAAATCTGTCATAATTATCACGTAAGGCTGGCACCATAGACAAATCAATCAATCAAAAACCTCTATCCTAATACTGTTACACCTACAAAACTCCTCAATAAGCATGAATAGTGACTGCATACATCAATTCAAAAATCAAACCACGCAAGGCCAAAACACCACAGTTCAAACCATGCCTTGGGTAATTTTTTTACCTAAATCGTATCTTTCTAAATGGAAGACATCCATGCATAAAGACACATGTTGGTTAAAACGTAAAATCCTGTCATCTCTTAAAGGGATAATAACTCTTCGTATGAGATCTATATTTCAAAATAAAAACCTTGTGAATAACTCATAGAAATATATTATATTCTGTTTTACCACAAAAACAGCAGTTATAGCTTTTATTCTGATATTTGAACTTGTCTTTAGACCACCTGACCTCCATTGATGTCTATACTCTGTTAAAATCTCTTAAGAGATTTTAACAAAAAACCAAACTTTTTAGAAAAAAACCAGGGACTAACTTTGAATGTAAAAATGGATTCATTAACCATTGGTAAGTATGGGAAAATTGTTGTTTACTCCAGGAAAATTCATTTTTTGGCCGAAACGAAGAGTTATTATTGCTTTAATCATACAAACCAGACGCAAATGCGTGTATGGTTCTGCTATCTCTTTTTTCTTTATTCCACATTGGGTTGCTAATCAGGGGCAGGGAGGCGGAATTCTAATCAATATCCACACTCTGATGACACGAGATTGAATAAAATCTACATCTTTCTCTACGATGACTTGATAATGTCAGCACAGTCTGGAGACAGACTCGAGATTTGGCAGTAATAGGAAGGGTTCTGTTGGAAGGTAAAAAAAAACATCCAGATTACATACTAAGAGCTTTGAGAGCACAGCTCTTGTTTCATCTTGTAACAACATCATATTCTGTGAACATGTATATTATAGAAAGTGTATATAGTCAGTACTATAAGTGAGGCAATCTGGAGGCCCACAACTGTCAATTTAATAGTTTGAGTTGGGTGACGGGTATTTTTTTGAAAAAGTTTATCATTTTACTCCCATGATTGAGCCAACTTGTGAAATCGAAGAGAACCCATCTACAGATCAAATTTTGATTCAGGGTGCACCCTTTTTTCAGCCAAAAGCTTCTTTGTCCTCCTCTCTCCACCCCCATCCCCCTTATGGGCCAGATTTCGGTAAATAGGAGTCTAAACTGGAAACCCTCCTCCATTCACAGGGTGTACAGGAGAGGAGATGATCACCAATAGTTCTGTGACATTCAAGGTGCCTGGACTATGACAATTAGTTCAAATATGACTGTCCTCTGTCAACAAACAAACAGCGAAAAAAAAAACTTACAGTTTCAGGGCCAAATTTTCCAGATATTCAGGCTACTCATCTTTTACTCCCAGTGCTTTATCTGGAAAACTTGTACTGAGAAAAAAGACAAATTACCACAGCTGATGGGTTTCCGATAACAAAAACACATTATGTCCATTATCATTAACCATTGAGAAGCCTCAATGGCATTGGAAAAACATGAAAGTTAGCTCTTGTGAAAAATGATACAAAAATGCCCATTATTGTTAGAAATTGTACTCTCTAAAGGTGTGCATATACAGTCCTATTGTGACAGTTCAACTTAGTTCCATACTATTTCCAAGTGACTACCATTATTTACCATGGATCCCAACTAGTTTTAGGCATACTGGGCATCACAACTTAATTAAAATGAAAGAACGCGGGGCAACAGAGTGATTAGAATTACACCCTGTGGTAAGAAATTGTACAGTTACACTCTACTAAGATAGTGAATGGCAAGTTAACCCAGCACAAATGTACTTTTGATGTGCCTTAAGCTGATTATTAGATCAAATCCTAGAAAATGTCAATGTGGGTGATTGCAAATTGTGTTCATGTATGTGTTCTGAGACTAATGATCAGGAGAAACCCCACTTCAGAAAGAAAACGAAGACTGGAAAACAAAGATGTTTGTAAAAGTCATTTATGTAAAGACTGACTAACTGTAAATTGAACTGTAAGGCTTCATTCACATGCAATGTCTATTTTCTAAATTCTATTTTCTATTCGCGGTATGTCTTATGATCACGGTCTGTGCCCTGAATATCCCGCGGCGTAATTACTGGCAGCGCGAGTCAGTTACTATAAGTTACTATAAGTAACTGGCTCGCGCTGCCAGTAATTACGCGGCGGGATATTCAGGGCACAGACCGTGATCATAAGATAGCGCGAATAGAAAATAGAATTTAGAAAATAGACATTGCATGTGAACGAAGCCTAAATCTCTAGACAAGTCATCAAGAGGGAAAAGCTAAAATGTGGAATGAGTACAAAAAAAGTGAATGTAGTTGTTGATGAACAGCTAGCCTAATGAAAGCATCGTTTATTCCCACATCTTTTGCAATCTGGACAATCCCTGAAAGACATCATCATCATTACAACTAGAAGCCATCATTCTAAGCTAATGAAAAAAATTACTGAATATCAGCAAAAAGTCTCATTTCCGATTTTTCTCAGTTCTTTTTTTTTTCTGTCATATTGGTAGCTTGAAAAAATACCTACATGGTATTAGAACAAGGAACTGTTAAAGGAAATAATAAGTTTAAGATTTTTTTTCCAAGTCAGACTTAGTCTGAAAGAAATCAATACAGTAAAATCTTGACTCAAATTTTTTTCCCATTCGTGCCAACTTCATCATTTTCATTTTTCAAGATGCAGGATCCAGAGATGTTCCAAATGTCTCTAAGGACAAACTAAATGCATTACCTCTTACCATTATATAATATCCATGCTTTTAATGTTTTTCTTCTTTTTTGTGACTAAGAAACTTAATATTTCACACATGGCACATTTTAGTATCATGATTTAATCGATAGCAAAAATACATAGTTTCATTTTGATACAAAATAAAATACTTTCATGCAGTGTGTGCTATGGCATATACAAATGCAAATGCACATGTATAATTATGCACAAACCAACACAGATGCATAAACACTCGAGCACAAGCAATTAACACACACACACACACACACACACACACACAGGTGCATTCATGCACACACATACACTGACACACACACACACACACACATACACACACATGTACACAGACACACACACTTACAAATGCATACTCAATGTATCTCTCGCCATTACAAGTGCTACACATCCATACACAAGGGACCGCCACTCTATGACATACGCATTCAATGGTAAGCATGGGCCACTAAGATTACTAGGAATCCATCAGATTACCAGGAATATATGAGCTGATAAGCTGACAGGACATTCCCTGGAGAGAGCTTGGAATTGGACAGATCTGCTGTAATCACACATCCACTAATTCAATGGGGTCGTGCCGTCAGGTTTTTAATCCAGGCTGATTGCTTCATTCTCTCTCAATTATAATTTAGCACGAAGGCATTCTTTTTTTTTTCTTGTTCACATGAACTTTTGGACAAAGTATATCATCTTTGCATTAGGCGAAAAATGTATTGGCTTTATCGAGCCTAGGCTTAACCTTCAGACAGATTTTTTTTCAACCGTTTCCAAAAATATCATCTACCACTTAAGGTTTCATGTTTGTTGGTTCAATTATTTAAGCAATCAATCATTTATCATCTTATTGGGAATTGCTATCAAAGCATCGTATCATCAAAGTCATATAATTATCCTAGGGCAGCAATTTGAGTGTTAAAAGCAAATTACACAAATAGAAGTAATCCCAGTGCTGACATAAATCAACCAAACTTTCCATCAACTACTGGCAGGATGCCATTCGTATGACCACTTGAACCGAAACCCACAGCTGAAACGATGTTTTGCAATAGTTTTACAACACAAAATCAACAATGGAACTTTATTCCTTCAACCACCTGTCTACCAGTATAACATGAACAGAGTTATCAGTCCTCAAGCTTCCTTTTGCCAGACAATTGAGAGATCGGGGTTCAAGATTAGCATAAAGCACAATGAGCCGGCATGAGAATTAGGGCTTGTTTCAATAATGGCGTATTTGCAGATTGTGCCTGGCACGTTTTGATTGAGGTAAAATAATACTGCGTCTAGAACAACTCGAGCATACACTTGCCATTTGGTGAAAAGTAATACAGGAATAAGGGTGGGGGACAAATAAAAAGACATGTGGCTGTCTTTATGGAAATTTTACGGATTTTTTTTTTCTTCGTGGAATTGATTCCAGACTGGAAAAATTTTTGAATCAATTTGATGCCAACTTGTCATAGAGTACATGACATTTGTGGCACGGTGTCTGAGCACGTGAATCATTGATAAAATTTCAAATTTCACTTGAGAGAACCTTTTCACCTACTGCTTTGTGCAGTGTGTAACAAGTTTTCCTTTCTTTTTTTTCCTTTCTTATTCCTCAAACTTTTTTTCTAGATCAAGATTGAAAATATAATTAGGAATTAAAGAATCAATATCACCACATGAGGTACCTGCTTCAAATATTTTATAGTAGATACCTGAACTGGATGTGCCCCCCCCCCCCCCCCACACCTTTCTAGTCAGTTACAGGTACACATGAATTAAGACTATAAGAAAAAAGGATGTCCACATAACCAAAGGTGCTTGAGACAGAAATATGGAAAAACACCATGACAAAAAAAGTCTCATATTATGTGTAAAAAAGAAACATCTTTTTGCAGCCCACATCAGACAAACATTATAATTTCAGGATTACAGTAGCAGTAGTGAATACCACGAAAAAAAAATCAAAATCAAATCAAATTAGCTGTAAT